CCCTTCTGGAAGTAACCACCCTGACATTAATGTCTTTCACCTTCCTCTTGGTGGCTCTGGTGACTATGCAGAGAACCTGCACCTTATCATCAGTTCTCCTAGCCAACAACAGTGGGATAAGCATAAGACTGAGACCAGGATTACCAAGCTGCCTCTCATCTTAGGCTTGAAGCCAACACAATTGCTTGGAGTGCCACTGTGTATGACAATGGACCTTATGCATCTCTCCAGTAATCTGTTGGACCTCTTTTTATCCCTGTGGTGAGGTACGATTGAATGTGCTCCTTCTGACACCAAGGAGTCTTGGGATTGCACTATCTTTCATGATGAGGACACGTGGTCTGTGCACAGACTGGTGGTTGAATGGGCTGGCTCCTACATCCCAGGCTCTTTTGATTGCAAGCTGCAGAACATCACAGAGAAACTCAGTGCCAACTACAAGACCTGGGAATTCCACTTGTATATATTTTGTCTCACACCTGCACTTCTTTACCAAATACTTCCTGAGCACTATTGGACCAACTTCTGCAAGCTTGTTCCTGGCATTCAAATCATGTCCCAGCACTGTATCAAGGAGGATCTCAAGCATGCTTTTGTGCTCTTTTGCTGCTGGGAGCATGACTTCGAACTTTTGTACTATAAACTACAGGAGAACTGTCTGTATTTCATATGCCCATGTGTTCATCAAGTCCTCCACCTTGTCAATGAACTAAGGTAAACACATTACTTGTGAGCATGCTGGAGCTTGATGACAGTGGCACAAGAGGTCCTTCCCACCTCTCTGTACAGCTAGGCAGAGGATATGTGCTACTCTTCAAATGAGACAAACAACCATGGCTTCCTGAAGGACAAGATGCACTTGTCATAGCCCAATTCCTGGGAGGTCTACAGTGGTTCCAGCAGTGGGCTCACCTACAGCTCCCCAATGGCCAGGTCATGTGATCACTGTGGTGAGAGCAATTGAAACAGCCAGAAAAACTTCATGTGTCTTGGAATGTCAAGGTGAAATCATTTTCTTTCATTCAAGAATGATTTTAACAGGATAAAAGTTTATACATGCAGGTGAGGAACATTTTGGTGAGGTCCAATATTTCACAAGGCTGGCTACAAGAATGCCAGTCAGTGGACAAATGCCAGATCATGATGGATTTGTCAATGTTGTGCTCATTCAACTCTACACTCCTCCTGAAGGCTTATGCTTGTAAGTGTCAGGGGGCACATTCAGATTACCCAAGTGTCTCGGAAGGATTCTGCATGGAGAAGTGGAGATAGGTTCAAATCTTGAAAAGAAAATCAGTTATAAGTCCTTGATGATATTAAGAATAGACATACCTTGGAAAGTTGCTCTCAGTTTTCAGGTCTTGTGAAGTGGCTCCAGCATCAGTGTGTCCAGCACATCACCAAGTAAGCTCATTGCAGGCCTCATTGAGCCTACTGTCTGCTTCACAGACTCAGAGATATGCCTCTTGGAGTCTGATAGATCCCTCATATGCTTGCATAAAGATTCTCTGCACAATGTTGAGTTCAAGACTAGCCTCCTTGACTTTGTTTAATGCAATCTCTTCTGGTGCCAAGTCTGCATCAGCTGGCTGACTGCAAAAATATCTTAGTGACCCCTGCTTAATTAAAACTGAAACTAAGATTTACTTGTCTTTTGTGGGCACAGTGGTAAGATCCTTCAAACAAAAGACAATTTTTTGTGGGCCAGGTGTTGCAATGTCAATTGTAAAACAATGGGTGTTCCAATCAGACATGAATCCATCGACCTTGAGGTATATAACGTCCTGCACTGCATCGAGGACATGTGTCAGGGACTCGGATGACATGGTGAAGGTTAAGGGACACTAAACCTGGGCATGTGACTATATGGGTGTCACACATCTGTGTCTGCATCTTCGGCAGTCTACCATCTGCTCGTCTTCCCATCACATTGCCTGATGTGTCCAAGCATGACTCTGCACACAATGGGAATGATGGGAACTCAAACAATGCTTCTAAACAACTTTGGTCAAGTGGACACCCTGACAATACAGCTGGATCACTATAGTTTCTCACAGTCATTAAATGACTTCAGCATTTTGCTGATGGTGGGTGAGGCAACCATGTCTGCACTGTCCCCATTTCATAGTGTAAGTTACACATTTCTTGAGTCAGTTTGACTGATCACTTTGTTTTAGGGTGCATATAGTCATCCCAGCTTGAAGCAGATTGCAGTACTACAAGAGTGCAACAAAGTACTCAAGTCACAAGTTTTCAAGTTGACTGTCAAAAATAATACTCTATGGTAACATCTAACTGACACATCTACTAACTTTGGATTGACAGATGCAGGGGCACATTTCAGCACCTAGCAGGTGCAGTTGGCTTATGTGAAACAGACCTGGCATGGTTTGATATGATGATGGTCCCACAGTCATCTCCAAGTGATTTTACATGCCCAACACCTGAAACTCATCTGAAAATCCATTTCTGGGATCAAAGCGATTGGAACACCTTCCTTGAGTTGTCTGAGGGACAACTTAGCACATGTGGGACACTTGGATTCCTCAAGGAAGACAACAGTGATCCACCATCCAACAGCACAGCAAAGGCTATCTGAAAGACACTTTGAGGGGGGTGGGCAGAATTAGCTAACTGCAAACTGGCTCCAAAATCTTGGGGTCAGTTGTGTGCAAGTGGTAGGCAATTAACTCATAACCTCATGGAGAGTGCATTCCTGCTTTTCAGATTTGCAAAGAATGGTTGGAGGCTGGACTACTTAGCAAGCAACTCATACCCAGCATGGTGGAAGACCCATTTGGACAGTGAGGGGAATTGGAAGATGAAAAAATCTCAGGACTGTGAAGATGACAATGAGGACATGGAGATGGACAAGAAGGACAAGAAATGGAAACTCCTTGAAGCTAATGTCAAGTCAGAAACACCAGATAAAAGAATGAAAGGTGAGTGTATTCCATACAATCTCAATGAACCACAGTGAAAGCCAGTTTTTAAGAGGACCACAAAATTGATGACACCGGTTTGGTGGTGTCAAACCTCTCTCCAATGTTGTCATCATCTCCACCTGTCAGCAAGACAACCCATCTTCCATCTATTGCAGAGGGTGCAGCCTTGATGGTGTTACTGTCTCCACCTGTCAGCAAGATGACCCATCTTCCATCTATCGCAGAGGGTGCAGCCTCAATGGTGTTACTGTCTCTGCCTGTCAATGACACATCCCATCTTCCATCTATCACAGAGGGCACAGCCTCAATGGCATTACCATCTCTGCCTGTCAATGACACATCCCATCTTCCATCTATCACAGAGGGCACAGCCTTGATGGCATTACCATCTCTGCCTCTTAGCAACATGTCCCATCTCCCTTCTGTTGCAGAGGAAATGACATGCACAAATGAGAAGGAGATTATGCCATGCATGCCCCAACCAGAGCCAGAGCTAGTCACTGTCATTCCTACCAAGATATCAGTTAACCCACTGTGAGTATACATGTGAATAGGAACCTTTTCTGATGATGTTTCTTAGAGCATGCTTGGCGATTGCTGCCAACAAGGCTCGGGAGTCCCTACCCAAGCTCCCAAGTGACCTGAATGGAAGCAAGATAGAGAATGAAGGATTGGTGATTCCATCAATGACCACCAAGTCTGCCAAGGGCAACGTGAAGGTGCCTGGGAGGATGTGACCTAGTCCAACCAAGAATGGACAGTATGTTTAAATTGTTACTATTTTTTGGTCTGACATATTGGATTATCAGAAACCTCTGCACACTTTGATGGCTCAAGAGAATTCAACCAAATGGAACCACAGAGGACTTCCAGAAATACTACAATTCACTTTCTGCTGACAAAGTCAAGGTATCATCTACTTCTTCCAACTGCCCTCACCACTAACAGAGGTCATATTCTAGTCCTATGTTGACAAGGCTGCAAGTTTGGTAAAGTAGCTGTTAGTTGTGATGATTTTGCACTAACAGAGTATAGGTTAAAAGCAGTGGCTGGGACCCAAAGACTATATGCAATGGCACTGTCTACTGAGGACAACTCACATTCATCTTGCATTCAAGCACTCAAGCTATTGCTATATCACTTTGGACTTGCACTCCACATCACTCACATTTGGTTCGCTTTCATGTCTCTGCACTCACACACTTCTCGCACCTGCCCATCTCACTTTCATGTCTCTGCACTCACATTTGTGTCACAATGATTCCCCCACATGTGTCTCACTTTCAAGGCATTTTCATTAATTTATTCTGCATTCATTTACCCATGTTAGACTTGCTCTCATCATTCTCTGCTCTCCTATAGTCATCTCCATGGACAGCTGGTAGGGGGTAATGTGTACTAGTTATCATAGCAATGCAAATGATATTGGTGCATGTATGGCAATATTTTGTATAAACTGCAAAGCCAGTAATAACCATATCTAGTGAGATTCAAGTAGATTTCATGAGCATGCAGCATGCACTGAAGAATATGTTGGAATGTGACAATTTATTTTGGTGGGAAAATTCTAACATATGGTCATGCCAAGTGCTGCCCCAACATTTTGCAAATATAAGAATCATCCAGTTTTCTTTCGGAACATGTTCCCTCGTGGTATAATTCCGACGTCCGCTCCGACTCATATTTGGTCATGTCTGGCCACGCCCGGACGTGTCGAGTTTTCACTAGGCATGAACTTTGTGACCTTCCATGACCGTGGCAATTGCAAACGTTGCAATACGATCACAAGATGTTTCAATGAACAAGCATACCAAATATGGTAAAAGACGTGACAGAGACGTGACGTTAAAATCCATTGAAATGAATTTTCAGGTTTTCCGACATTTTTTTAGCTAATGGGGCATGCTCATGTGGCTGACTGATCATAGGATCAACCTTGTCAATCATGTTTCTTCCAAAACTCCTCGGAGGTTGCGCGGTGCCAATGCCGGCGCATGCGTGTAGTTATAATACCAGTATGTTGGTTTCAGGCATACTGCCTGTCCACAGACCACAATGTCTACCCCGCAGGCTCCCCAGCCCGTCCATGTCTTGTCCCCTGACCTTGTCGGTGTGCTCAAGAATCGCGTAGAGGCTACATGGGTAGCTCTTATCAAGAAGAACAAAGACACCCGTTGTTTTTCCGAATCTCCTGTCTTTGCGGCATTTCACAGTGCGATACGCAATTTTGGGAGGGATGATGATGAGGGCATCTCGGATGATATCCTCCTGGATACCTTTTGCACCACAATCCCGTTAACGACGTACGACCCTTACGAGCCCTTCGTGGCCAAATTCCTTTCGGAGACTTGTCAGGAGGACGATGTTCGAGATATGTTCTCGCCCGGTTTGCCTCATCACATAGCGGTCACGAGTTCGACCTCGAGTTCAAAACCAAAGTTTTTTTGCAAGTATCGACATCAAGGCTCAGTGTACTATACCATCGATGATCGAGAGGCCTTCCGGATCTTTTCTCTCCACAGTCGTCAGTTGGTGAAAATCCAAAATCCAAATGGGGACATCATTAAGACCATTTCTGTTGGTTTGGGGTCATCCGGAGGGGTTCGCGTGCGGTATGATTTGGAAGTGGAAAACGATCACTTGAATATTAAGTTGGCCGGCACGTCTCCTCACTCCACGTTCAAATGTTTGCATTTTACAGTAAACTCATCGCTCACCAGGGAAGTGGTCCACTTCTCCGATCGCCGTCGGCTTCGTCCGCGATTATCGCACGTTCTTACTCACGCACACACTCTTCGCACTCGCAAATAGCAAGGTTGAAACCATATTTATAAACTTTACTACGTCCGCCGTCGACATGATACGGTTTATGGAAGAAGAGTGGGAAGCCCTGATTATTTCCATCGAGACAGGTGAACTTCCCCCCTGGGACGGGATCAAAGATGTCCGGGAATACCTTCAAGTAATCATCTCCCCACCAGTTGATAATTGTAGCAAGCTGAGCTGGATATTCTATTCAGCCCCATTTCCCTCCACGCCCAGAGCGTGCTGCTCAGCTTCGTGCAGTCGGTAAAGCAAACGACCAACCTGGCTGGCTGTTGAAAATTTGGCCGATGCTCAAGAGCACTGTGTCCATCGGTAGCGGTGTTTTCTCTGTCGCGGTTCCGAAGGTCAGCTCCATTACATAGACTGACGCCCTCAGGCTCAGTTTTTGCGTTAGTTACGATTCTACTTGGGCCCTGTGCAATTGCGTAGCCCCGGGTTTTTCAGTTCCGAAGCCTACGTTGCTGCAGTCTACGACCCTTCAGACCTGAACCTTTTCAAAATGACATCGCAAGACATCTTCGAATACCTTGACGTAACCAAGGAGGAAAATGCGTCTGGTGTCGTACCCCCTGTAAGCCTGTTCCCCTTTTCTTTCACGCGGTCCAATCTGATTCAAAGGAAAGTGGCTACTTGAGGTCGGGAAACATTACGAGATCGTGTGCACCACTCGTGACGGTTTGTGGCGCTACCGTCTTGGAGATATTGTCGAAATTGCAGGCTTTGATCCAACAGATGGCTCACCTATCATTCGCTACTTCGAACGACGAAAGCAAGTATGCTGATAACCTCACTGAGACTCTTGACTAAAGGGAATGTGTAGTGTCATTACGTGGATGGCAGGGGGTGTGCTGACCGAAAAGCATATCACCACTGCTATTTTAGCGGTGCAAGATACCCTTGCCCCAATAGTTGAGTTCACTACCATCATCGATAGCCACAGTGGGGTTTCCACTCTTGGATATCTTGTGGAAGTTCATGGCGAACTTCGTACGTGATTGATATCTCCCAGTTAGTTCGTGATGGTTCTTACTACCACCAATTTCAAAGATCCCGAGGCCGTCAAAGCTCCCATGAAGCTCCACAGCGAACTTTGCCGCCTGAACGAAGAGTTTGATCCAGAAAGAATGCAGATACCGACTATCCGGGTGTTGGAACCCGGGACGTTCGGGGAGTACAGACGATGGAAAGTTGAAGTGACCAACTCTGGTTCCGGACAAGGGAAGGTCCCTGTGTCGATGAAGGACAATACGGCCCGAGAGTGGATGTTAGCGCGGGTCCGGAGCGAATTGGGTGTAGACTCGAACGGCGGAGCCTTGCAAGGCTGACTACGAGACTGTCGACAGTATCGCTGACCAACATGTTTGTAGTATAGTAATTGAAGTTTCTCCAAGAGTGGCGAAGGCGGCTGTTACATGGTGTGACTGTGTGAGTACATAAGTAAGGAGTAGCCAAGCAGGTTGTCGGGTAAGTCTCCTCATCCGCCCTTCCACTCACTCCCGCCCCCACACTCCTTCTCAGCGCCAACTATCGTCGATACACTCTCACTCCCATCCAACCGACGCGTCCCACTAGGTCGCCATGTCCCTCAATGACAGCACCCCTCCTCCAAGTCCTGCACGTCAGGAGACAACCAACCTCCTGCCAAAGGACATCTCTCTGACCGTCAACTACCTCCCGTCCAAGTTTTCCAGCGGCCTTCTCTCCCCAGGCGCTAGGAGACGTAAGCCAAAAGTCGACTTATCCCTCCCTAAACAAGGCGGAGGCAGAGAGGCGTTCAAGAGCAATGAACCACGCATGGCTGGGGAGGGAGACGAGGACTACGATGGCGTCACGGGTGATTGGTTTGGTGGAAAAGAAGGCGGACGCACGCGTCCCCGTATGCGTTGGAACAAATTCAAATGGACTCTTTTCGTGGCTAACGTATGCGTAAGTCCATCCGTTCTGTCTGCGTCCATTCAACAATCTCATGCAACCCAGTTGTCCATTTACGCGCTCACCGGTCTTATCTCTTGCCTCCTGACATGGTTCGACGTCTTCGAGCACGCCGATATCGTCCGCGTAGGAAACCGTACCGAACTCGTTCTTTCCACCGTCGCAGCAGCAGCCGCGACCATCACATCCGTCTTCGGCTGGGCAGGCATCCTCCTCAACAACCGCTCCTTCCTCGCCTACTACACTTTCTTCCTCTGGATCTGTTTTGGTCTATTGGTCAGCCCGGGCTACCTCACTTACAAGCAACGTACTTTCAATCTGGAGGGCAAGATCAATGCTCAGTGGTCTCGTAACCTCGGCGCTGCGGGCCGTTTACGTATCCAAAATCGTCTTCACTGTTGCGGATACTACTCTCCCTTCGTCGAAGCCACCGTCTCACAGACATGTTACGCTCGGTCGGTTTTGCCCGGGTGCAAGGCGGCTTACCTGCAATTCGAAAGACGCGTACTCGAGATTTGGTATACAATCGTCTTCTCTCTCGTCCCCCTTCAGATCTTTATTATGCTCGCTGGACTGCTGTGCTCGAACCATGTCACCTACCGTTTCGGAAAGGGTATGATGCCCAAGGCGTATCGTCTCAGTTTGAACAGCATGGCCGTCATCATGGATAACTATGCCAGGTGAGTTCTTTCCCCTCTCTTCCGGGAAAGAACGCTTCATTGACTCCTATGCTCAGTCAACTCGCAGAACAGTACGGGTCGGATGTCGCTTCAGATATTCTTGCCCGCTCCAGGTCCAATCTCGGAGTGGAGTCGTTACCCTATACACCTCAGACAGCGAGCGTATCCTCTGGGAGCGGTGGTGGCACTGGACGTGCTCACGACGGTATTGGGATGTAGTAAACTGTTTCTTGGTCTTGAATGTTCCTCCTCGTGTGCCGTTGCTCCCTTCATTTGTCCCCACCATTCTTATTTTTTTTATTATTACATCGACTCTACTGATAATGATACAACCACAGGACATGGGGATCCGTGCTAATTGTTAAAATGCTTGGCTATGTGCTTGAGTGTTTTGGAGCACAGCGCTCTCGCGTTTATAGTCTATAGCAAGTAGGGAGCTCGTGAGGCCAGACATGCCCAGTGTCCTATAGCATGCGGTGAAGTTTGTTTGAGGACTGTAGAAGGCCAGCTAGTTCACCTATACTACATGATGCAGCAGCATCAGACACAAGGACATCCATGTGGTATTTTACGACTCCCTATTAACTACGCGTGAACCCTCACTTGAACTCGGTGGCACGACTGGAATTCCCCAACCCACCAAATAAACCTACACCACATCCTTCACGGGATGCACACCCCCCTTCTTCCCAAACACTCCCTCAAAATATTGTCCTAAACCTTCCGCGCCGTGCACGACCGCGCCGACCACCCCATCCGGGCGTACAACCACAACCTTGATTTGCTCTCTTTCAACAATATACCCTCGATATGCATGACCTGCCTGATCGACAAATACCTCCACACCGATAATCTGGTCCTTGATGACACGGTCATCTGGTTCAGAAAGTGAACCGGCAAGTACGACCAAACTTCTCACAGATTCACTCTTCGCGATCGACTGTTCTAGCGCCGCAAACACCGATCGGACGGCAGGGAAAGTCAAGGCAGGTGTAAACATGAGAACGGTATGATACGTTGGTGCGAAGATATCAAACAAACGAGTGCTCTCTGGAACTTCTTTCGATGGCGTTGAACTCGTGGGCGCTGCGCAGTTGGGTGTAAAAACGGGTGCTAGATCCGGAGCGTCTGGAGCACGATCGCCCGCTTGCAAGACGCCCTCTTGGATGTCCCCATATGCGCGGTGTGCGCCCGCCGAAGTAGGAGCGGGGGTGAACTCGTCGATGACAATTGGGCTAGTACGGTAATTCACGCCAAGCATGTATAGATTCTTTCCGCGATGCAGTGAGCGTTGAAGTTTGGATTCTGCTAACTTCGAGCTGTCGTTGTCTTTGTCGTCCGTAGTCGATCTGGGCGCGTGTTCGGACTGCGACTCGCGGTAAGTGCGCTTGTGCATCTCAGCGGTGACACTGAGCACTTCGGCAATCACAGGAAGCCGTTCAGCGGAGTAAGTGTCGAGCAAGGAAGTCGGGGATAAGCCTTTGTAAACCAATGCAAGTTTCCAGGCTAAGTTAAGCTGCGAAAGGTATTGTCGGCTCTAGCGGTATGACTTGGAGTGGATTGGGTCTCACCGCATCTTGAATGCCGGAGTTCAGACCTTGTCCGCCAGTTGGACTATGTACACTAACAAAAGGGTCAGTAGGAATGAAGGTTATCCCCAGTAAAAATGCATATTCACTGAGCAGCGTCTGAATTCGGAGGAAAACACAGATGAGCGACGTAAAAGTTGAACGCAAGGTATGTCCGTACCTCCAGCAACGAAAGCCCTTCCCACACCAAACTTGTTCACCATCCTCATGTGGGGCCTGGTTACCAAAAGTATCAACAACTACTCCAAACTACCAAGTTTGCCGAGGAAATAAAAAAATGAAACCCACTTAGATTCCGAAACCCACATCAGCTCCTTCACGTTGACATCGTCTCCGAGGCCTACAAAATCCTTGATGCAATTCACAAGAGCCACTTCGTCCTGGGCGAGACCCTTCAGGTCGCGTATACGACTGCCGATCATGAATTGGTATCCGTCCTTGCCAACTTCATCAGTAGGGCGGAAAGAGATTCTGGAAATCGCAATTCATGAACTGGAGCACGATAGTGGTTAATGTTGTGCGGGGGAACGTACATATCCTTTGAAAAGTGGCCAAAATGGTGCCAGTGCTGAAAGGACGGGCTGGTTAGCGTCTATGCTCCGTCCGCAAAGCCGACGTATACCTCGCGATCGAGACCTTTAATTTCCAAACGGATATCACCCAGCACGATGTAGCCGTCTTCCCATGCTGAGCCGACAAAGGTGAGTTCGAGTAGCTTTCTTGTCACGCTCTTCGCGCCATCAGCACCGATCAAGTATGCTGCCTCCATCTCTTCCTCGATTTCCTCCACATTCCCAGCGTCGGTGCGACGCTTGACAATCTTAGCTTTGACGCACTTGTCATCTTGGGTGAACGAGACCAGTCGGGTGCCCAACTCAACGGCGCAACCAAACTTGGCGAGGTGCTCGCGCAAGATTGCTTCGAGCGTAGGTTGACCCATGAGTTTGGGATTATACTACGATTCTCTGTTAGCCATCATTCCATCCATCTGTGCCGTTTATGTAGGCAGGTAGGAACCGAACAGAGGACGAGCTGAGGGTAAAAGTACGCACGTATGGAATCGCTGGCGTGGGCTCGGTATATGGTGACATGATAAATGTTCTGAGGACTTCGAGAGAACCCTTGTTGTACTCGTGAACCGGGGGAAGAACGACTGCACGTTCATGGATCTCGGGGATACGCAGAATGTGGAAGAGTTCGAATGTTCGGGGCTGAGTGGAATCAACGCTGTAGTAAGAGTAGGATGCGCGACGTATGTGACTTACTTACCTGGATGCCAGGACCACGCTGGCCGGGTCGGTGTTGGAGTTCCTTGTCTATGATGCGAACGGGCACGTTGTTCTGGGCAAGTGTCAGGGCCGCGATTAGGCCCGTTGGACCTGCTCCAACCTAGTGTCCGTGTTCATCGCTTTTCAAGGGTAGGAAATGAAGGTCGACATACCACGAGTACGGGAGTCGTGCCAGCTGCCATGATAAGTTGCTTTAGGGGTGTTCAATTAGTTGCCTGGGAGATGCTGCTGGTAGGCCGACGTCTGAACACCTGATTCTTTTATCTTTGCAGGTACTGGAAGAGCCCAAAGAACACTGCAGCATCGAAATCTTTGGCGGCAGATCATTGATGAAGATCAAATGTGGCCACTATATGAGCGGCCAGCCCGGGCAAAGCGAACAACAGTCCGACCGGTGGTGAGGCCGGTGAGGAATAAAGCCGGCCTGTGAAACGCTCTCCCCGGTAATCAAAAGAGTCCTGGTCAGACCACCGCTGCTTGTGATTCTACAAATCCATGCTAACATCCCATCAGATACGCTACTCCCCCTGCCGAGTTTAAAGTTTTTATAGCGACGCGGTGTCGGAGTTTGAACTGTGTGGCTGTGTCGCGTTCTGTTGAAACGTGGTTCGCCCATTTGTGCCCATCACCCGTTGCACGCTGCACGCTCGTCCCCTTTCTCGCTGGTCTCTCGCCATACCACACTCCCATTAGCGATGCCACAGCGACCAGATCTGCCCACAAGACAACTGAACCCTAATCTCAAGTTTCGTACGTCGTTTAGCCCACAGGAAAACCAAAATTCAGGCTTAATAGACGCCCGTATCTTGAACCAGTCGAACCCAGCAAATTGCCCCCTGTTAAATATCAATCGCTTGATCGCGACGGACATGAGGTTCTGGTACTGCACATCATTCTTTCACAGGTTATATCACCCAAACCCCTAACATCCATCTCCCTCTTGTAGGTGGGCCGTTTGAAGATCCCAACAGTACGTACCTTGCCTCGTCGTCTTGCACAACACATTCTCACTGTCCACCTCCAGCAAGGTGGCCATGCCTTCATACTACGCCGCTACGACACCGGCGCTATCAGTCTCACAACCATGTTCCGCGCAGCCTTCCCAACCGCCAGTGAAGCTGACGAGCGGAAAGAGACTCAGTGGGTAAAGGAGACCTACGACTTGGCTGGCAACAACGGTTCCGTTCGGGAACCCCACATCGTCCGTCTCGCCGGTACCTGGGTCAGCCCAAGCATCGCCCTACTACCCGAGTTCGCTGAATGCTACAGCCTCGCCGACGTTATCGCCCGGGTCGCGAGCTCAAACCCAGACCCCAACATAAGCTACCGCCGGTCGACGAAAGGGGGAACGACACCCAAAGCTGGTGCTCCCACATCCCCAGCTGGCGGTTCGACGATGACGGTGTCTGCCACTTTGGCCCCAACGCCAAAGAGACGTAGAGAGTCGTCGCCTGTGTCCGTGCCAACCCCACAACCTAGCCTACCGCCCCCGCGCAGGTCAACGCGCACGAAGAGCCCTGCTGCTGTTCCACTTCCTCTGCCAACCGTTAAATCACCCAAATCAGTCAGAATCGCACGGACCGTCCGTGTAGCTGAAGTCACCACCCCAGGGGGTTCGGACGAGACAGTAGTGGACGAGGAAGCAGAAACGATAGAAATGGCGAAACCTAGCATGTCGCAAGATATTGCGGAGCAGAAGGAATTGATCGACAGGCTAAAAGCCGAGCGGGACGCACAAAATATGGAGACAGACCAGGTGGTGGCTCCACTGAAGAGAGTGCGGGAGGACGAGGAGGAACCTGAGCGTAATTTCAACCCTAAGGAGCCAGAGCTCGAGGAGCGGAAGATAGCAACGAATAAACGCGTTTCAAGGTTCCATTTGGAACCTCGACAGAAATCTTTTGCATGGGGTGTCGCAGCTTTCGCGATTGGCATGGGTGCTATGTAAGCCTTGTCCACGCATACTGTACCACGGACCACGAACTAATCTTGCTTTTTGCAGGTCTTTCCTTCCAAACTTTTTTTAGTCTTTTTGTCCAACCCTCATTCCTGTCGCGATTATGGTTACTCCCACAGTCGGAGACGCCTTGTTGTATGGTTGTGTCCTAACACATCTTCTCTCGCGATAACTGTAACGGGTACAGCGACACCTCCTTCAAATCAGCTACATACATATTTCCTAACCATACAGATGTTGTTGCCACGCGGTGGCTTTGTCGACTGTAAATGTTTGGTAGGTATTTACTTTCGTTGGAATACATATCGTACATAGTTCAGCTGTTAGGAGGAACAAGGGAAATCAGTCAGGACAAGGAACGGCGACTCGTACATTGAAAGTGACAGTTACCTATCACTCTGGAATATGGTCTCGACCGCATCCGCGACGAAATGAGCACGATCATCGACACTGATATAGACATACAATAAGTGAGCAAGACGGATGGAGTGTCACGTATCAGTGTATTGGGGATCGCGCGCTAGCTCGAGTGGCTCATCTATTAGTGGCATAAGACGAACGCCATGGGGAGGGCAGATTCGGACAGTAGACGGTGTAATACGCCAATATCCACGCATCCGTCCTGGAAGACGGCCAGAATTGGATCAGAACATATCGATAGAGCGAACCACCCACCTCCTGGTTCCGATGTGGCGCGCTGAGAGATGACTGGCAGCCATTCCTCACCTATGCATCCGTATGTACCTCTCCGGCGTTCTCGTAGGTGACAGATCTATGATATTGTCCCTGGGAGGTCATTCGCATCTTCCAAATTATCAGCACTTGCGGGCCCATGGACTCGATCCGTGGCACACAGCATATCTGCGATTATAGTCCTTTCCTGTATGCCGTGCTCTGGTTTTCGTCCATCACTACTGGCCTTATACCTTGATATTCCTTGATTTTCCATTGGCTGTGCTTTGGTTCACTATTGTAATGGCTTCATATAAACAATATTGTAAAGATATGCAAAGCTACACGGCTGGACTTGATGTCTGTCCGTTTTCACTTGTTGCAATTTACAAGTGTCACTGACACATCCAACGCAATATCAATATCCACATCACTTGCTATGGAGTCCAGTCCCCGTGGTCCTATTAGTCCGATAATCCACACCATTCCTACATATAACTATTCCAGAGGACAGGATCGTGGTTGGGATGTGAGCACGTGAGTACTTGCAAGTGGTCCTTGTGTCAGTAATGGCAATATGGCGCGGCGGTTTGCAACGTGTCTACAGCATTTCCGCGCCTACTGCAGCCCCAAGCGCTTTCCTGTCACATCCTCAACATCAACCCCACCCAGAAAAGTTTGAACGAATCACATATTGATTTCTCAATGGCTCGTCGTATTTTTAGATGGGGAAAGCCATCTGGCTCTGCATCCAACTCTGTTTCTGTAAGGAGTTCGTTTACCTGCAGGCGATTGTAGTTGCTGATTCACCGAGAAACAGTCACAAGGTGGTGTAGCCTCGCATGCTGGAACGTCGGGCAATGTCTCCCGGATGACATTTGTAAGGATGAGGGACATCTTCCATCGGTCGAATCAAGGCTCCATCGTAGCACAGGCTACTGACACAGGCACCAGTGGGGGCGCTCAGGAGCAACGGGAACAAAGCCAAGTGGCCCCAACTCAGGATGTGTGTGATCTACCCCATCCAGTTGTTGCAATAACCTTAAGTAACAATCGTGTTGGACAGACTCAAAGGCCAACCCACGGCTCAGAAACAGGGGCCATGCCGGCTGGGCCTGATGTCGATGCTGTAGTCGAGCCATTAGGCGACACCAACGAAGGTGCTGCTGACCCCGCCAGTGGCGCCAGTACCGCGCTTGATCCGGTCTCGGCATTGGTAGGCAGTGAAGTCGACGCTGCTCAACAGGCCCTGGATTGCATGATGCCCATCCCAGGCTCCGGCCAATTAGCTATCGAGCTTGTGGCACAGGCTGATACTGCGGCTGCCAGCGTCCAAAATTTCAGTAACACATACCTCCAGCCTCTCAAAGCCTTTAATTCCGTCGTTACTAGTATCGCCAATGTACGCTCATTGCCCTACATCTAATCACGAGTTCTGATGGAAGGGTGCAGGTTCACCCCTATGCCCAGATTGCGCTGGGAATCTTAACCGCTGCTGCTCAGGTACGTGTTTACGCCCCGGCTGTATGCGCTGTGCACCTCACACGTCCCTCTGTAGTCGCTCATTAATCAAGCTAACCTGGACAGGGAAGTGTTCGGCCTCCTTGATACAGTCAGGGCAGTCTATGGATTCCTTCTGGAAGACGATACCCTTCGAAAAATTGATAGTATGAAGGAAACTTTGGTGAAGATTTCGCAGGTGATTAGCGATGCGGCCCGATTCATCAAGAATTACTCGGAGACGAAAAATTTCTGTACGTTGGTTGCACCATTTATCTCAAGTCCGATTCAAATTCTCCTCAGGGAGGAGACTAGGAAAGAACATAGTGTCGGAGACTCAGACCACGACTGATGGTTACGCCAAGTTGCTGAACGACTTGATGCAACAGTACCGGGACCTTGCGATTCGGGATATTCACACTAATGTGCACCACGTACTTGAAGACCTGAACTTCGCGCGCGGCGAACTGGACCTCGTACGCGGGGATCTGAGAGAGATAAAGTTGGAAGGCATGGCTTATGCAGGAGGTGCGGGTGTCAACAAGACGAAGAAGTGCCTAGACGGCACCAGAACTGAGATCCTCATGGAGATCTTCAGCTGGATCCACAACACTGACGAAGATGCTCCGCGTATTTTCTGGCTGTATGGGCAGGCCGGCAGAGGGAAGTCGGCCATCGCGCATACCGTTTCCCTGTGGCTCAAGGATACCGGAGGGTTCGGGTCGTGCTTTTGCTTCGCCCGTGATAGGCAGGCCGAACGTCGCGAGGAAAAGATATTTACCACCATTGCACGTGATCTGGCGGACCGCGACCGTGCATTTCGGCGAGCTCTGGCTGACGTACTTGCAGAGGACCATTCCCTTAAGACCACATCTGACGTCACGCTGCAGTGGGAGAAGCTGATTTTAGAGCCGTTGTCGAAGACATCCACTACTATCATTGGAAAGATGGTCGTGGTCATCGACGCGCTGGACGAGAGTGGCGCGGAAAAATCTCGGAGCGACATCTTGTCTGTGCTTGCATCACGGGTGGACGATCTCCCTGCTAACTTTCGTGTCTTCATAACATCGCGCGCATTGCCGGACATTGAACGTGTGTTGAGAGCCGCTCCACATGTGAAGGCAACTTCCTTGGACGACGTTCTTGCAGGATGGACAGAACGCGATATCCGTCTTTATGTTTCCAAGCAACTTGGAGACCTTCCAGACATCGAGGACACTGAAGTTGAGAGGATTTCCCTGAAGGCGGACTGCCTATTTGAATGGGCACGTCTGGCCTGTGATTTCATCAAGTCAAACCAAGCCGGGACGACTATGCGGGAACGCTATGATGAGGTGATCACTCTCGAGTCCGAAGAGGGAAGAGCACTCCTCGATGCCACTTACTTGACCATCCTGAAGAACGCTATCCCCGATTCTAGAAAAAAAGCTCTTCAACGATATCGCTCGGTGATGGGTCAGGTTCTGATGACACTTGAACCTCTGCCTATGGTGGCCTTGAATCACATGCGCAGGCAGTTCCCAAACGAGGAGGATCACTATGATGTTGTTGTCATCCTTGCGTTCATGTCCCCAGTACTTGGGGGCATTACAGATCGCTTCTCTCCTGTCCGACCCCTCCATGCATCCTTTTATGACTTCCTAACTGATCGTTCACGGAGTGGGGACTACTTCATTGACACCTCTTGCCCATATAACCTAGCTGTTGCCACCTTGCGAATCCTCCATGGTGACCTTCGGTTCAACATTTGTGGACTGGAAACTTCCTACTTGAGCAATGCAGAGGTTGCTGATTTGCCAGAGAGAATCAACAAAAACATTCCACCCTGTCTATCCTACTCTTGTCAATTCTGGTCCCATCATCTGCAGAAGACTAGATTTGACTTGGCCCTGACACAGTTGGTAAAGGAGCTCGTGGGAAGTGAAAAAATTCTATTTTGGCTTGAGGCTATGAGCCTGCTGGGTGGAGTTGGAAATGCTGCTGCAGCACTTATCTCTACCAAAAGATGGCTCTTAGTGAGTTTGTCATAGTTGTTTGCATTTCATTTTGTCTGACTTGACATTGAAGAACCAAAATGATATCAAGAATACAATAGGTTTGGTAGAAGATGGAATCAGGTTTATTCAGAGCTCTGGTGGTGCAATTTCTCACAGTGCACCACATGTGTACATCTCTGCACTGCCATTTATGCCTAGGAAGACAACACTATCAATAAGGCTGATGACAAACTTTTCTTCCCTTCCTGGAGTTGTAGGAGGTCTAGAACATTGGTCAACAACTCAACTGCTTGGCTTGGAGGGGCATACAGATGCAGTCTGGTCAGTTGCATTCTCCCCTGATGGAAAGAGGATTGTGTCAGGCTCAAGGGACAAGACTGTGAGGGTCTGGGATGCTGAAAGAGGTGTGGAGATTGGCAGCCATCTTGAGGGGCATACAGATAGAGTCCTTTCAGTTGCATTCTCCCCTGATGGAAAGAGGATTGTGTCAGGCTCTTTGGACAAGACTGTGAGGGTCTGGGATGCTGAAAGAGGTGTGGATATTGGCAGCCATCTTGAGGGGCATACAGATGCAGTCCTTTCAGTTGCATTCTCCCCTGATGGAATGAGGATTGTGTCAGGCTCAAGGGACAAGACTGTGAGGGTCTGGGATGCTGAAAGAGGTGTGGAGATTGGCAGCCATCTTGAGGGGCATACAGGTCCAGTCATGTCAGTTGCATTCTCCCCTGATGGAAAGAGGATTGTGTCAGGCTCATGGGACAAGACTGTGAGGGTCTGGGATGCTGAAAGAGGTGTGGAGATTGGCAGCCATCTTGAGGGGCATACAGGTCCAGTCATTTCAGTTGCATTCTCCCCTGATGGAAAGAGGATTGTGTCAGGCTCAAGGGACAAGACTGTGAGGGTCTGGGATGCTGAAAGAGGTGTGGAGATTGGCAGCCATCTTGAGGGGCATACAGATGCAGTCATTTCAGTTGCATTCTCCCCTGATGGAAAGAGGATTGTGTCAGGCTCAGAGGACAAGACTGTGAGGGTCTGGGATGCTGAAAGAGGTGTGGAGATTGGCAGCCATCTTGAGGGGCATACAGGTCCAGTCTGGTCAGTTGCATTCTCACCTGATGGAATGAGGATTGTGTCAGGCTCAAGGGACAGGACTGTGAGGGTCTGGGATGCTGGAAGAGGTGTGGAGATTGGCAGCCATCTTGAGGGGCATATAGATGGAGTCTCTTCAGTTGCATTCTCCCCTGATGGAAAGAGGATTGCGTCAGGCTCTTTGGACAAGACTGTGAGGGTCTGGGATGCTGAAAGAGGTGTGGAGATTGGCAGCCATCTTGAGGGGCATACAGATAGAGTCCTTTCAGTTGCATTCTCCCCTGATGGAAAGAGGATTGTGTCAGGCTCTTTGGACAAGACTGTGAGGGTCTGGGATGCTGAAAGAGGTGTGGATATTGGCAGCCATCTTGAGGGGCATACAGATGCAGTCCTTTCAGTTGCATTCTCCCCTGATGGAAAGAGGATTGTGTCAGGCTCTTTGGACAAGATTGTGAGGGTCTGGGATGCTGAAAGAGGTGTGGAGATTGGCAGCCATCTTGAGGGGCATACAGGTGCAGTCTGGTCAGTTGCATTCTCCCCTGATGGAATGAGGATTGTGTCAGGCTCAAGGGACAAGACTGTGAGGGTCTGGGATGCTGAAAGAGGTGTGGAGATTGGCAGCCATCTTGAGGGGCATACAGGTGCAGTCTGGTCAGTTGCATTCTCCCCTGATGGAATGAGGATTGTGTCAGGCTCAAGGGACAAGACTGTGAGGGTCTGGGATGCTGAAAGAGGTGTGGAGATTGGCAGCCATCTTGAGGGGCATACAGATGGAGTCTCTTCAGTTGCATTCTCCCCTGATGGAAAGAGGATTGTGTCAGGCTCTTTGGACAAGACTGTGAGGGTCTGGGATGCTGAAAGAGGTGTGGAGATTGGCAGCCATCTTGAGGGGCATACAGATAGAGTCCTTTCAGTTGCATTTTCCCCTGATGGAAAGAGGATTGTGTCAGGCTCAGAGGACAAGACTGTGAGGGTCTGGGATGCTGAAAGAGGTGTGGAGATTGGCAGCCATCTTGAGGGGCATACAAATAGAGTCCTTTCAGTTGCATTCTCCCCTGATGGAAAGAGGATTGTTTCAGGCTCTTTGGACAAGACTGTGAGGGTCTGGGATGCTGAAAGAGGTGTGGAGATTGGCAGCCATCTTAAGGGGCATACAGATGGAGTCTCTTCAGTTGCATTCTCCCCTGATGGAAAGAGGATTGTGTCAGGCTCTATGGACAAGACTGTGAGGGTCTGGGATGCTGAAAGAGGTGTGGAGATTGGCAGCCATCTTGAGGGTCATATAGATCCAGTCCTTTCAGTTGCATTCCCCCCTAATGACAGGAGGATGCTTTCAGGTTCATTGGATGAGCAGTTGATGTTTTCTATGTCAAATTTGACCAATGAACTTCAACTTTTGTCTGACACAGCAGATGGTAAGCAAAATCAACCTGTGATGTCTTCTGGTGTAATAACAGCAATTTCAGTGATTAGGTCATGTCACATTTGCTTTTCAGTTGTCCCTTCACATGCACTTTGTGATAGTGAACAACTTATTTATGGGGTCCTCCAGGGAGATAGGGATAGGCTGACATGTGCTGAACCAGTTAGGCTTCACCATGATGGTTGGATCAAAGATCCAAAGGGTGAATTACTGCTTTGGATACCTGTAACATTGAGGTCCCCATTGTACACAATGAGGACTAAAGTGGTCATACCTAGAGGTTGTTGCATAGAGTTGGACTTGAGCCACATGGTTCATGGGCATCAGTGGCATAAATGCTACAAGCCAATTGCAAAGGTGGCCATTTAACTCTAGCCTGCATGGCTGCATCCTCATGTATATATCTTTCCTGTACTATGTTGTGCTTTAGCTTTGTCTGTATGTTTTGACTTGCTGCTATTTACATCTGTCACTGACATATCCTGTTCATGACACATCCCTATATATGACTACTCAAAAGAACAAATGGCATCAATACAGCTTAAAATCCCCAAGCCACATGCTGCAGCTACTGCACAAATCACCTTCCCTCACCACAACTTAGCTGTGATGTTCACTTTCTGGCAAGGGATTGGACAGTTGAATTATGACATTTACTATGGGCAAACACTACACATAGTTGAGCAAATAAACAACCTGTCTTCCCTTTACAGCCTTTGCAGTGGGTTTTCATGTTGTTTGAAGGGGTCAGCATGTGGTGACTACAATCTGGCATTCTTTGGCATTGCTCTTATTGCCTGTTGCCCACCAAGATTGCCCAAGACATCTTCAGCTGGGGAGGTCCATTTGTAAATCATAAATAGTACAATGCAACACAATTCCTTACCTCCTCTGAGATGGAAATCAAATATGACAGTGCAGTAGCACTGTGCTGTGGTTCACACTATGTTTGGAGGAATTCAGGAAGGGACACTCACATGTTTTCCAATAGGACTTGTTCATCCAAGCAGAGCTAGAAATGCTTATAAAGGAGGTTCCCAATGTTGTTAGCACTTACCTTCAGCAGTTGAAGGGTGGGCATGAGTGGTGAGTACAATATCATCAGTGGGGTATGTTCATTAATCAGTGTTCCTTGATGAACTCCCTTCCAAAAGTATTGTACCACCAATCAGCTGATACACAGATATGCCTGCCATGGTCTGCAGTCTGCCACAGAATAGTTCTCCTTATGACAAGGGAGACCATCCACTCTTGTCTATGAAATATCTGCTGGTGTTATTTGACTGACAAGAGCAGATGGTACAGGCCCTTTACAACACCCACCTCTTTGATTTCACAGAAGCCTATTAGCAAAACACCTTTTTTGGCCCAGTGTGACAGCCACCAGTGTCACACAGTATCACAGGCCACCCTAAAACATGCAATGTCACTCAAAATAACACATGCACTGCTACACTAATGACACAGGCAGGTTATTTGGCATATATAGATTCCAATTAAATATATTTGTGATCTAAAATGCAGTATTTTGGTGTGCTGTGGTCAGTGGACAGTGGGGGACCTTCCTGTGGTACTGTGGCACCTGTAGGTGGCTGTACAGCACTGAACAGCAACTTTGGGTTTTGCTGATGAAGACTACCACATAACACCCCAGCACAAGCATGTTCAAAATTTCTGGTGACTTCACTCTCTATTAAGTACACTATCTACTTACAAAAAGGTGTGTGCCTGTTTTGCTCCTCAAGACAAGAGTGTATCCTTCTCTTGTCAACATCTGCCCCATCAGATGTGTGACTACTTCTGCTTCTGTCAATTATATGTCCCACTCCATCCCTATACCAAAGCTTACATGCACCAGGTTCTTTGAAACACAATTTTGTGTTAATGTAGTGTACAGTTAGGTCTTGGAGCTCAACCCCCTACTGTGCACTATGCATTACACACTGACAGTGTCTGTCTATCTTGTTCTGAGAGATCCTACTGTTCTTCTCCTTGCCCTTTCCACGCCCCAATCCGAGCCAATGATCAGATGTGCGACCCCCCATCCTCGATTATGCCAACTAACACCATCCCTCTTCTCAAGCTTACTAACATTAGCTACCGAGAGACTAGGCCTTCGAGCTGAACCTCATTCCAGCGGATCCCCCACCACATCACTGGTATTCACACCGCAGGACAGGTAGGCTTCCGACCTCCTGAATGACGAAAGGGAAGCAAAGCTGAGGGAAGTTGACCAAGTGTTACAGATGGTGATGGCGGCAAATTTGTAGTGTTTGTGTTAGGGGTTTATGTAAGGATACGCGAACTTTGGATACACTGGACTGACGGTTGCGTTTGCGACCCCATGGGGGATGATGTCGGCGAGGTCGTAGTAGCACCCCACATAGTGGTGCCGAGATGATATTCGTTTAGAAGTCAGAAGTCTTTGCTGGGTGTGAATATAGGCACAACCGCTCGGACTTTTCCTTACTCCTGGGACATCGACCACCCCGATATCCACATTAGTGACATTCCACTTCATGTTCCGTTCCTTACTATGCTATGTCATGTCGCCGATCGAAGGTGAGATCGTTGCCTTTACGGTCAGACAGGAGGGTCTGTGTAATCGCGCACGGTGCAGAGGGTTTGGGACGACACTCGGATCTCGGCGTGTTTGAGAAAAAGAGAGGCGCGGGTTTTGGGGAAGGTACAAGTTCGTCTACTGTCCGTTTCCATGAATGGCAAACCGCCAGCAAACTCGTACATTGATGAAAGTGATAGGTACCTATACATTTCGTGGTTCCGCATAGCACACCAACAACCCATCCTCGTACAAACCTGTCAAATAAAACGTACCAGTGCGGCTATCGACCAAACCGGTTGTCGAAGTCCCATACACAGACCCATCACTCTGAAATATAGTCTCGACGTCATCCGTTAACGAAGCAGGTGCGATGGCCGAGGCTGACAATGGTGCGCGAGAATCGTACCCGGTCATTTTCGAATACGAGTTTCTGTGACCTTCCGACTCCCCGGACCCGCTTGTTGCAACACTGGGGCGGATGGAGACAGCCCAACTCGGTGCCTTGACACCAGGCTTGTTCTCCACGACAGCAATGAAAGACGGGTAGTGAGGGTGGCCGGCGACGATGAGCACGTCTTCATCATCATACATCACGTTATCGGGTGCGAATGGGACGGTGACCTCGCGATCTAAAGTGAGGTCGTTGGTCGATGGCTCACGTCTGTAGAAATAGACCTTGGCCAAACTGCTCGATGCTACTGCGAGGTATAGTCCATCGTGCGAAAGGGCGACCCCGTTGGCGAATGCGATACCGAACGCAACAACTTTGTGTTGGATGGCGCCATCCGGCAGAACTGTAACGTGTGCGACCCAGGTCAAGGGAAGTCCACCGATGGCTTCGACGCTGGGCAAAATACTGCCGAAGAAACCTGGCAAACGACGGGTCATGAGGTGGTCGTTAGTTAAGTAAAAAGAGGTGGGGGAAGTCAGGGCAAGAGAGTTGGGAGCGACAAAGTAGGGAGAGGTGAGCGTGCGGACGTAGGTCGCTACGGTTGGTTGAGCAGGGTCGAGAACAAACTGCTCAACGGTGGAGTTTTCACGGGGATGGTTGACCAGGAAGAGGGTGGATGGGGCGCCTGCCTTCGAGGGAAGCACGTCCATGCCGAGAGGGTGGAAATCACGGCCTTCGGGATAGTTGGCGAGCGTCACGGGAGACAACGACCGGGTCTCGGTAGAGTATATCCACAAGTGGCCGAGCGGGTCTGGATCGTCCATGGGACCCATGACAGTGTTCCACGCTCTGCGTCCGGGATCACATGAGAGGAAGATGAACCGGTCGCTGACGTTGTCTTCTTCGTCGAGGTGGTCCCAGAAGATAATGTGTTCGCAGTGGTTGAGCTGATCGTCGATCTCGTCCTTGATGACCACGCAGTGGTCCTTGTAGTCACCACCTGCGAAGTATCCCTTGGGAAGGGCTGGGGCTGTGAACACGTGATATAACAATGCCCGGCCACTTCGATAGACGTATATCGCCTATCACATCTGTCTCAGTGTCGCTCAGTAAAGGTAACCCGAGCTCCGAAACGTACCAAGAGCGTCGTTAAAACTGCTGCAAACTTGTAGAACATGACGGTCTGTTGCCTACGTACAATTTAACCGCCAGGGCAGTGTATCCGACGGAACACTCGAGAATTGACACCATCAGTATGACATCAGCCCCGGTGGATGCGAACTTCTAACAGTAGATGCCGACAACAGCGTTGGAGTATAATCAATCGAGACACTAGTACGATGCTGAGCCAACGACCGTTAGTGCGGCTTCCCCTGATTAGCGTCCAGCATCCCTGACAAGGCCCTGCAGACGACTTAGCCTTAAACAACTGACTTGGCACGCATAATGGATGACAAGGTTCGCGCCGTTTCGCTCGGACATTGGACGGCAGATTCACGAGGTGACTCTCCACCTCGGTACAGCCTGTTGGCCAGACTTCGTTCCTCTCCTTGGTACATACCTACCCGACATGGTCTTATGCTTCTTGTTATTCCCATGAGGTGTTTCATCCGCTGGGAGCCTGACATGTACTAAACGCAAGTAGACAAGTGAGAGAAGGTAATCGGTGATCTTTCCTCTTGGCCCTTAAAAACCTCTCCGAACGTGGGGGCTGGAGCTTACCTTGGAAAAGCCTGGTAGAAACCACGGATACGAAGAACGTTAAACCTGGTATCTCGTGCCCGAGGTTCGTTTCTGCAGAGCGCCTATGACAATGGGTTTGGAGTACTGATCCGGGTCCATCGTACTAATCCGAGGGCAATTTATGGTCGGATCGCGAAAACTTGTTAGTACTTAGTTACCATAGTTACCGCGCAGCACCGTGTGCAGTGGTCCTAGGTCGCACTTTAATAGCGGACATAACTTTCGTCGTGCACCTGTGCCGGAAACCGCAGGTAAATTGTGTTGCCGGTGCTCCAAGAACGGGACAGTAGTCAGCGAGTCCGGTTCCATAGACAACGGGGACGGATCGTTCATTGGGTGGTAAGTACGTGGTGAAGTTTGAGCCTAGTCTCGTTGCTCCCAGGGCAACGTTAATGGGCGCAGTGATCGCCATCAGTTTTTTAGTGTGTTCCGTCGATAATCAATGCTTCAATTGAACAGCCAGCAGAATGCACAAGGTGAAACGGCTCCAGGGCAGCTCACACGGGCAGATGCAGCTGATATAATCGAAACTTGAGAATTCTCTTCTTACGCTGGGAACACGACGAACACGGAACTGGTGAGTGGCGTCGCCCGTAAGCATGTAGCATATTTTCCAATCCGTGCTCATACGGGAATTGATGAAGACTTCGTCGCATTCCTATTGGCCTGTGTGTTGGCAATTTCATCGCCCCTATGATAGGCGCCCTCGTCATCCATACGTTGCCCGACTAAACGACTGGTCACAGCCCCCTATGGTGGACCGGAATCAACGATTATGGTATGTATGCACCTGCGCAAAATGTTGCCTTCTTCCCTGAGATTGGACAGATAGTGTATTGTCTGATTTGTATCCCTGATTAGGCCCGTAAAGCTCTGGTGCCATGTGCGGACCGCCTATAGTGTCCACAGGAGCATAAAAGGATGTGGACCAAATTTCTCGTCGTTCCGCCCGCTCCTGATCCCATACTCACTATTATAATATATCATAACCGACACTCCATTGTGCTATCTACATTATATATAAGGTGGGTCTGCGTACAACTACCAAACATCCTCTGATTTCCTCCCTCCAGTCATGTGTAATCTTGTAGTGCCCATCCGAACCTGTTCAAAGTGCCACCGAAAGGAGCGGTTGTTTGGGGACGGTAATACCTCCAGCAGTGACAAGATAGACAGCCAGGGGGTTGGTCGTTCACTGGCTTGAATCTTTTCGATCGTGACGATGACGATTCCGACCTGGTCCATAGCTGTTGGGATACATGGATCCCGCTCAAGATTGCTACTCCCGCTGGTGTATCTTTAGCAGCGAACATCCGAAGTCCTGCAGTCACTGCTGGATTACGTGCAAGCATTCGTACGGTTCTTCCTAGCGTTCGTCAGCGTAGAAGCATTTACCCTTCACCCAGGCACGGAAAGACGAGGGAGATTCAAGGTGGTTCGCCTTCCTACGTCTGCTACGGATGTGCCCCTCGTGAAAGAAAACGACAAACATGGAAGCCACCACGACCCGTGCACACGAAGACGATGTCCCCTCAAGTTCCTTCCCACAGTTTCCTCGGCGTCAGCAAGCTAGTAACTGCACTCGCACGATAGCAAGCCGCACTGCCATCCAGGGCGACGGCTGCGTTCCCTTGCCTCTGTTCGTGGACTTTGACCGGACGAAAGCTTCCCTTTGAGCTGTTGGGTAACACTCCCCATCCTCCCATGTACTTCTTTCTTGATAGACTACATGCTGGATCGTCTTGGGCAAATGTACAGTACAGTCGTCGCCTTCAGTCCTACGTCGCAGATGTGTTGCAGTGCCAAATGGAAAGGAAGTCACACGATGGCTGTGAGATCCACAGCCGCAGTGCCAGAGCAGCGAGGCAACCACCCCGCCAAAAATACATCCATTTTCAATTATTTTTGTTTTTAATTTTTGTGTTTTCTTTTTTTTTTCCACACTATCTCTGCCGCACATATCCGTTTTGCCGTGTCCGTATCTGGGGACCGTGTCTGTGAAACCGAAGCTGTAAGCTGAGCGCGTAACCCCCCCAAGTTCATGGACAACCCTCAGCAGTATCAACCTCTTTCACATGCGTTGAACCCGCCAATCGTGCCGGCCCCCTACGAGGACGAAGAAGACGAGGAGGAGGAGGGCGAGGAAGGCGAGGAAGAAGTCGCGGTTGAGAACCAGCTCGGAAGGGAAGACGAGGATGGAGACGGGGTCGCCGGGTAGGTGACATGCTTTTATGCAGTGACGCCTAGATGAACGGCTCTTGTATTCGCTGCCTCCATGTCACGTACACACAGGCCAAGCAATACGCCTCATCGGACGCTGAATGCCACAGCTAGCAGTGAACATCGCGATGCCCCTTCGTCCTCTAATCGGTTACAATCGAATGGTCGCTCGGCGCCTGACGATACTGACCGTAAGCGGCGTCCTGGTAGGCCTCGCGGCTCTAAAAATCGACGCCCGCGCGGTTCAGGCGACCGACGCGTCGAGTACACAACCAGCGGGTCCCTCGAGCTTCATCACCTGCTGGTGCTAGCCTTGGATTTCATCGATACCAGACTTCGGCGGCCCCCGGAGAAATACACCCACATAATCAGCAGTACTATGAGTTCAATGGCGTGTACTGAACCTCTGTGCTGAATTTTATGGCGCTGCTGAAGAGCTTGTCGTGAGTTGCGCCGCGCCGAGTGTGGTATGGATGCACATTGATTTCTGGTTTTATGTACTGCTGTCCAGAAAGCGACGCCGCCGCTAGGTTGTTGCTCAGTGCTACCAGGTGGGTTCCGCGGTGAAGGTCGACCCTTTGACCATGCTTAGTGAGGCCAAGAAAATATGTGATGCTCTGGTAAGTTTGCCCTCGCCCTCGCCCTGTTACACAATGAGGAGTTCACGGGTGTCACCCTTTTACAGTTAGCTTCTCCAGCCCAGCTGACCAGGCACCCACCACCACTGCCCCTGACGTTTATACCAAGTTGCACACCAGCAACAGCTCCCTCAATACCATCGTCCAACGGAAAGGCAACTCCGGTTACCCAATCCACGACCTCTGTGATCACCAATCCTCAATCATTTGTGGTACCAATGAGTCACTCTCAACAATCTTCGCAGCAGTTCGTTCCGAGCGTGTATAATAACCCTGCATACCCTACAGCTCCCTATTACGGCTATGGAGGATACGGTGGATATTATCCGCCAGTTCCGCAGGCGGGACCTAGCACAGGCAGCTCTACGCCGCCTGCTAGTGCCAGCGCAATAAACAGCAACAGCGCCGGAAATCAGGGCGCATGGTCCGACGAAGAAACTGAGAAACTAAAAAAATTGGCGGAAGAACACCGAAGCAATACCGGAGATATCGCATGGGATGCTCTGTGCGAAAAGTGGGGCAATTCAAGGACCAGGTAACTGTCGCTGGATTGATGTCATGCACGAAGGAATTCATTGCTAATGGTTGTTGGCAACAGACACCAAATTCTTATAAAAGCAACGTCTCTCGGGTTGAAGGAATCATCTTCGCGAGGCACTAAGCGGAGACGAGATACAGATAGTCATACCATCCCTGACCGCCAACCACCACCACCGCCCACACCTTCTGCGCCACCCAGTAATACCAACCAGATTGTTGCTCCCGTCCCCACTCCGATGTCCGCCCCGTCACTACAGCAGCCAACACAACCCGCACACGCCACAGTTTCTCCCGCTTCATCCACACCAGGGCCATCGACGCACCCTTCTCCTGCCATTCGACATGCTCCTCCACAGCAACAAGTACAACAAACCACATCGCATCAATCTCCACGTCAACAGCCCCAACCACCACCATCTACCCCACGATTTACATACCCGATGCCAACTGTGGCAGCTGCAACTTCGCCAGTCATCTCACCCAGCGCCATTCAACGACCCGATGGACAGAGTGCCGCCAACCCCTACTATCGTCGGCCAAACCCTTCTGCGCAACCATCCGGACCGAAGCAGCCGTCCCAGCCACACGGACATCCTGGAGTCGCAGGGGCAGCTCAGTACATATACCAGCACAATGGACGGCGAGAATCCTAGCAGCTACAGCCCTTTGGAGGGGAAAAGACTACTGTGTCGTGGGTGATTTTATGCTTGTACTGATTTCGTGGGTGCTGTCCTATTATGTCGATTGATGCCGTTTGTGAGTGTATTTTGGCCATTGTTGTATCGTTCCGCCGCTACTGTTTGTGTAGTTTACCCGACATAGATTATTCTAATACCAACTTTTATTCCTTGGTGGTAAGAGATGTTGGCTTGGTATTGCTTGCAAGAACACATCTATTGCAACGAAGGCTGGCATGCCATAAGCCCTCAATCAAATGACAGAACCCCAATACTCGATGGACGTGAACTGGACAAAGGGAATGAACATAAGTTTTCTGCACGATTTCCGGGACGTCCAACTTTCGTTCTCAAAAGACCTACAAATTCGCCGCCATTTCCTTGACGGCTGCCACCGTCACCATAGGGGAGGAGCCATACGAATATAGAAGGAGGCAGTCGCGCATCTCATTGTCGACTCGGGCTCGGGTAGAGAGGTAGATGAGAAAATGATATGTTCTCATCTCGACGAGCGAAATGGGTACACGCCTTTTGCAGATGACGAAATAGGTAATGATATCAGATCCGTTGGCACGAATGTACTGGGGTTTTATTCGGTAGTCCTCCAAAGGGTGGAAGAGCTCGAACAGGAGGGTGTTGAAGGGTCCATACCAGTCGCCCTCTTAAGCGAGAACTGAAATGTGACGGCTTAAGACCAAGGCATATCTGTGTACCGTAGAGAATACGGAGACGAAAAGAGTACAATGCCTGGGAGCGGTGCCGAAGGTCAACGGTCAGAGCAACGTCAAGAGCTCGGAGCCCCTTCCCTAAACACCCCTAACTTGCCTCCTAACTATTGTGCCCTTCAGCGGGCCGGTTGAACCGGAGCCCGAAATCACCAAAACGCTGGAGAGAAGGGCCCTTCAGTCCTGTTCCAAGCACTTAGATGAGAGTGTGTATTAGATTGTTCGGACAGGTAAACAATATTCTGACGACGTTTGGTTCGGTGGAAAGGTAGAGTGCCACTGATTGAGCGGGTCGACCCAACGCTGACTGAGCGCCCCCGAGCCGATGTACTTGCCGTTTTCTTGTTCTCAGCCATGCGCGTCCCTACTAAGTCACTACTAGCGGGTTTGTGGCCGTACAAGGCGATCGATATCGGCGTGAAACCAGGCTGTGCGTGGCATGAAATGAATCTCAAACCCTGGCTTGTGTACGGATCATGTTGTTCCATTCCTCCGCTTTGATCTCTGCGTACTATATACATATGACCTTGTCCCGCGATAATTTGTTCTCGCTCGCATCCCGATCGTTCTTCCCGGCGCCCTCCCAGCTTCCAGTGAGTATTACATTCCCAGTACGCTCCATTGGTCTCCTAACTCACATCCGTAGCACTATTCTCGGCAGATTCCATATTTATAACGTTCTTCATGGCGCTGAGGGGGCTGAACGTCGTCGAGGTGTGTGTGTTCCAATCGAGCCGCGAGTCCACTGAGACAAATGCACGATCAGTTTGCTGGTCTTGCACCTGGACCATTCGCTGGACTTGTGCTCGCGCATCATGGTGCATCCGTGATTCGTATCGACAGACCGTCTTTGCCTAATAGCGATGTTCTTTGCGCTGGGAAACGTTCCATTGTCTTGGATCTCAAGAGCCCAGCTGGCTTAGCTGTGGCAAGACGGCTCATCGCACGTGCTGACGTGCTTATCGACCCATTCAGGCCTGGAGTGATGGAAAAAATGGGTCTCGGGCCGGAGGTCTTCCACAATGGTGAGGGCACTATAGGTGTTAATGATAGGCTCATCTATGCGCGGGTTGCAGGGTGAGTGGAAATTGCACCGGCCTGTTCAGGCGTAATGAAACCCTTCCTAGTTTCCCTGCTGATGGTAAGCACGTTCATCATGTGTCAAGATCGATAATTGACGGTGTCAAGGCGCATACAAGTCTATGGCCGGTACGTTGATCCTATTTCCAGTCATTATCATCATAGTATCTTATGTTTGTGCAAGGCCACGAGATAAATTACCTCGCTTTAAGCGGAGTTCTTTCCGTACGGGCTCCCCCGGTACATAGCGGCCGCCACTGACCCATGAGATCTCTAGATACTGCCAGGGACCCAAGATAAACCTACCTTTCCCCTAAACCTCCTGGCTGATTTCGCAGGTGGTGGTCTCATGTGCGCGACAGGTATCTTGTTGGCCCTAGTTGAGCGTTGTAAAAGCGGCCGAGGACAAGTCGTGGACGTTAATATGGTAAGGTCATGTGTCTGGCCCCTTCATCGTCTAGTCAATCACGAGGCTGCAGGTCTCGGGTACACGTTATGTTTCATCATTCCCATTATTGCATGCCACGAGCACGTCATCCTTACTCGGCGGCCCGCGCGGCACGAATCTCCTTGATGGGGGTGCGCCGTTTTATGACGTCTACACGTGTTCGGATGGTAAATGGATGAGCGTGGGATGTCTGGAGCCCCAGTTTTTCATAACCTTCATCGATATATTCAAGAATGCTTTATGCATGAACGGCTTGAAACCTAGCTGGGTCCCTACCCCAGAGTCGCGAACTCGTAGGGAGGACTGGCCGAAGCTGCGCGCCTACCTGGAGAACGGATTCGATATCAAACCACGAGACTATTGGGCTAGCCTTTTTCATGGTGAGTTTGTGCTGTGCAATTAAGATTGTAAGACAAGCGATCGGGTGCGTTTTCCTTGATCCTTTAGGTTCGGATGCATGTGTTGCACCTGTGCTCACTCCCGAGGAGGCCGCACTTCTTGATCCTTCGAGATCAGTCCGTCCGTCTCCACACCCACACCTCAGCAGGACGCCACCGCTGTCTCGTTCCGTGGCGAAATCTGGCATGGTCCTCGAGCCAGGTTTCCACACGCAAGAAGTTCTCATGGAAATTGGTTTGTCGAGAGGGGAGATAACAGAACTCATGTCAGACGGTGCGTTCGGCGACGAAGCCAAGCATGAAGTTATATCCAGCTGCAAGCTCTGAGGATGTAGATGTATGTAAATAACTATCACGACGAAACCCCAAAGCATCCGTGGGATAATGTAAATTAAGTCCTTATCGTCTAAGCTCCATTATCAACCAATCCGAATACCACTGAATGAAGAAAGAATTTTTCTGCAGTGACGAACATCATAAACATCGGGGTAATACATACTCGCCTCCCAAGGTGCAATCCGATATCACTTGGGCGTCATGTTATGTCGGAACACCTAACCTGCGCCGTAAATGCTGGATATTAAAATTCGGTGGTAGCACTGGTGATATCTGTTGCCGAATAAGAGACATTTGAGCTAGAAACTGTCTCAGCTGTGCACTGTATGCGTCCACCGAAGCGCCCCAATCCGCGACATATCCGCCATCGGCTAGCATAGCAGGCATTGGGCTCTGGACTACTTCTGTGGCGACATACTGCTTCATTTGGGTTAGTCCCCACAGAAACTCGTTATTGAACGGGCTAGCGTTGTGGCCTTTGAAGCGAAGGACTGAAATGGGTTTACCGAGTATGTTCCGACACGCGACGAATTCCTGGATAAGCGCCATTGTTGGAGATGGCTCGTTCAGTGGTACACCCGTACCGACGACGTTCCCTGTGTAGCCTTGCGTATGTAATGTGATCGTGCGGAGATTTGGCCACATAGGGGGACACCCACACACGGCGGCCTGTTTATCGCTGTTGGTAAGCAAGCGGATGAGGCGCATGTGTCTGTCAACCGAAAGCACGAGGTCCGAGACCGCCGGCGTCGCTCGGAGAAAGTGTACGTCCATATCCACACCCCCAAAATCGCATCGAATATATCGTAGCGTGTGCAACGACTGGAATGCATGGGGGTAAGCGCATGCGATATAGCGGTGAATCCAGGCGAGGGCATGGGCTTTCACGTCTTCCAGAACGAGTATTTCCACATTCGGCGCGGAGATGATGTCGAAGAGACGGAGCCCATTGGCAAGCACACGTCCGTTTACGATCAACTCACGTAAATGGGGAAGATGTACGGGGAAGACTGGTGTTTGACTGGCAAGTTCGACGAAGCCACGAAGGTGAAGAGTGGAAAGGGACGGACAAGCTGACAGTGTCCGATAAAACCCCTCCCTAGTCATGGGAAACTGAGGCCCAGGATAAGCGGAAAAGGATAGCGTCGTTGCTACAGGGCTAGGGAGGGTAACTGCGACATTATCCAAACGGACGTCCGTGAGTAAGGGAGCTCCTTTGCTGAAAATGGGGGCTCCCGTCAGTGGCCCGGGTGTGACAATAGTGCCCCTGCACATGACCCTCAATCGCCGCAATGCGGGAGCCGATTGATCTTGGAATGCGCTCAGCAACGTGGTGAGGGTTTCGCGTGAAATGGCTTCTAGGACGAGTTGTTGAAAACGGCGGAGATGAGGTATAAGCACTGTCGTTAAAGCCCGTTCCAGATTGGGATATTTGGCCCAGGGCCCTAGGTATACATCGAGAAGCCCACCCCTAGACCGTTCGAGATACTCGATCAGGGAATCCTCCCTCTGTTCGAACGGGAATCGTATAGACGACCAGAGAGACGGAGTGGCGAGCGCGACCTCCCGCCACTGGCTTGAGACATGGGACAAGCGCACCTCGATGGGAAGCTGGCCGAGGAGACAGAGGACGCCAGTCCACTGAGGGTTTGACTGGTGACATTCTTCGAATATTAAGGATAGCACGTCCGAAGGTAGTCGCGACACAGGAGCTTTGGAATTTTGGATACGCGCAGCCGTGACCTTGAGATTCTTTAAAACTCGTGCCATGTCATCATGGGCGGACTGAAGGTCGCTGATCCGCACGGCGAGGTGCGAGAGTTCATGTGCTGTGTCGTCTTGAGTGCCGGCGTCAAAATATTGGAGCGACATCAGGTGCTGAAAAATTATTTAGGAAAATAAAAATCAGTAAAGCGCGAGAATACCAGGAGTCGGGAACTTACCTGGTCGATGGAGGAAATAACGATGCACATATCCTGGGAGTTAAAAGGAGACTTGAGAGGTACCTACACGCCAATTCCACGTTTTAAGTAGGATGGAAGCATGTCTGCAATGATATGTCAAGGAGAATAGAACCTACCTGGTTCGGAAGTGGAGGTGAAGGTACGACGAGGGTGTGATGTGGCAGAGCCACGAAGCAACCGGAGAATAATAGACTGCGTTCGCCTTTGTATCCCTGGATAGGGCACGAAGTCGGATGATAGTGGCCACTCAAGGGTCGTCATAAATGGGAGGTGTCATTGTGGTTGTGTTTTAAATCTGCTCCCGCCGAATAGCGCGAATCTAGTGTAATCCAATACAGACGGTGGCTGTGTCCCTCCATTATACCACAGAATGACGTCGACAACATAATTACTGTACAAGACGAGAACAAAGCGCGATAGCAAATGAACCAGAAAAAAACTGCCGGCTATGGTGAGAGTGGGGATCCGGGACCTCGCGGAACTGACCCCCAATGAAAATGATGTTGTCCATGAGGTCCGGACTGCATCTTCCGATATAAGTGGGCTCGATATTCTGATCCATAAAAAAGGCCCGAGTAAGCCCAGTCGCCGCTACTTAATAGTTGTGAATCATTACCCGGGGACAGGCCCGGAAGAACTTCCATATTCACTTGGAGCTGCGATTTCATCAACGCGAGGGCAAGGTCATCGTGGAATGCTCTAGCGTGAGGACCCTCCAATCGCAAAAGCTCCAGTTCCGCTCCAACCGCCTTCCGCAGTTGAATGACGTCAAGCAGCAACACAATATCGGGTGGCAGTTCATCCTCCTCGTCCGACTCAACATCATCCCTATCCTGCGACCAGGGCGAAGCGACATGAAATGTCAGAGTACGTAAACGGGGCCATAATGGTGCGGTCCTGTGCAATGCAGCCTGTTTGTCACTGTTTGAAAGGAGTCGCATGAGATGTGTGTGACTGCCAAGCGAGACAGAGAGATGTGTGAGAGTAGAAGTCGCATGGGGAAGGTATATGTCGAGATCGTCGTCCATGTCGCAATCTATGTAGTGCAGGGAGCATAGACCATGGAACTGATCCGGTGAAGTACGGGTCATGAACTTATGTATCGAGGACAACGCCTGCCGCTTGAGAGCATATAGCGTGAAGAATCGCAATGAGGGAGCAGAGATATTGCGGAAGACATTGAACCCGTGAATCATAGCATGATCGTGGACGACCAATTCCCGAAGAGCAGGGAGTACAACGGGGGCGCTTCCAGGCTCTTCATGGAAGCCACTCACGAATCCTTTCAAATAGAGCACGGTGAGTGATGAAGCGACAGGGGTGATTATGCTGAGTAAATGACTCCGAGGAAGGGGTATTCCAGGTCCAGGAAGCGGGTCAAAGTGGAGTGTAGAAACCGCAGCCTGAGGTAAGGTGATGGGAAGGGCACTGAGGCGTACATCCGAAAGCAGTGGAGCGCCTCGTTTGAATATTTCTATGGGGGGATAAGATCCCTGACCACGCACAGGGTCATTACTGGTTATCTTTAGCCTCTGAAGAGAAGGAGCGGCCGTGTTTACGAGGTGAGAAAGCAACACGTGAAGTTCTTGACGGTCCTCGGTGTCCAAGATTAACTCGCGGAACTGGCCGATGCGCGGCATTAACTCGGAAGTGATGACGTCCATCATCCGACGATCTGATAGTTGGGGTCCCAAATGGACGCTGAGAGGGCACTGGTTGCAGCGATGTAAATAGGTTCTGATAGCGCTTTCCCTGTGAAGGATCGGGATCCGTAGAGTGTTCCATAGAGAGGGTGTGTTCAAAGCCACTTGACGCCATCTTCGACATACGTGCGATAGTTGCACTTCGATGGGGAGAGGTCTGCGGAAGCCCGTCCACCGGAAAAGCACACGACGGCTCTCGTCAAAAATGATCTCGAGGACATCTGATGGTAAGCGAGAGATTGGCACCGCATCATTCTTGATTTGAGCAACCCGACTTTGAAGTGAGCGGATCGTATGATTGACACGACGGAAGTTATTTGTTAGCTCCTCCCTCTTCACCTCTAGTGCGGTAATTTGTGTGGTAAGTTCTTCTACCTCTCTTTCGGCGGCTTCGTGGAGGCAAGAGGCTGAATTCATGATCTATAACCTAAGTAGCTGCAGCCCAGATGAGCTGAAGCCATGAAGCAGCGTGGATGACATGGGAACCACTGACATTGCAACAGCTAGTCCTAGTCGGAGAATGTGGAGGAGCGGCCTTCCTGTAATGAGTATCCTGATTTCGCGTGCGCGACCCGCAAGGAGATTTCGTTCGTCTCCCGTAAGGAGAACTTCCAAGTGTCGCTAGTACGCGCTAACTTGGTTGGACTAAACTTTTTCAATAGAGCAAAAATGTAACCCGCGAATTATAGCACAGTCAGCCCGAATAAGGCAACTCCCGCGATCTAAGGACGTGGGCGATATCACGTGACTACCCGGCTTAGTCGATTTCACGTGTGACGCCAGCGAGGATGTCTTATGAGGACGTCTGCAGCTGTTTAAATAGCGTCCTCACAACGACGCATCAAGTGCCAAATCACACCTTACCAACGGATTTTCTTCAGGCTTTGTAGCTGAAATTATGGCTGCAAAAGAATTTAAGGAGTTTACCCTCGAAGAGGTTGCACAGGTAAGTGTCCCCGTCGTAGGAGTATGAGGTCATCCGAGTTCTTAGCCTCTATAGCATAACAAACCCGGCGATCTGGTGCGTGTTTTATTGCTGCGGTGACTTCGCGAGAAAAGTCTGATAATTGGGTAGTGGGTCGTCATCGACTCGAAGGTGTACGACCTGACGCGATTCAAGGACCTCCACCCTGGAGGCATAGCCGTGCTTATTGATGAAGAAGTCGGTGAGTTGTCGGCTAGGACATAGCGTGCCACGTGTACCATATTCACGGACACCATCAGCCGGGAAGGATGCCACAGACACTTTCTATGGGCTTCACCGGCATGAGGTGTTGGAGCGTCCACAGTACAAACGTCTCCAGGTTGGCACAATCAAAGCGCAGAAAAGTGTCATATTCGGTCGCAAGATTGGTGAACTGAGTCAAGTGCCTTATGCCGAACCCACTTGGCTTTCTCCAGGATATCACAGTCCGTACTACTCAGACGTACGTGTGGAGCTTAGCTGAACCAGATTATTCCCGTTAATCCCAACCCTCCAGAATCATCGACAGTTCCAGAAGGCTGTCAGGCTGTTCATAGATGAAGTCGTATATCCCGATGCTCAGGTATGAGGTTTCCATTTCAATCTGCGCTACGCTCTTACGTATACCGCTGAAAGGCTCGGGAGGAAGACGGAAAACGACCGAGTCAGGTCGTCTTTGACAAAATGGCGTAAGCCTACTTTGGCCCAAAACTACTGTTGAATAACAGTTTGTCATCAGGGAAATGAACTTGCATGCAATGCGACTTGGTCCTGGCAAACATCTCAAGGGCCGTGTGTTGATGGGTGGTATCGTCAAACCAGAAGAGGTTGGTTATACACCTCTGTTCACATTTTGAGTTTTGACATGACTGAAATCCGACATAGTTTGATTACTTCCATGAGGTTAGCAGTAGCTGCGACACAAGGCATTATCCGCGTATACTCATCGGGTGCGTTGCAGTTGATTATCACACAGGAGCTTGTGAGATGCGGTGCACGAGGTTATGGCGATGGTGAGTTGTCGCCTATGGTGCTCGTGCTGAACTAACGGCTCTATTTTCAGGCATGCTCGGCGGGCAAGTCATCGGTCTGCCTCCAGTACTCAACTTCGGCTCTCCAGAGCTTCAGGCTCGCATCGTACCAGATATTTTGACTGGCAAGAAGTTCATTTGCCTCGCCATCTCCGAGGCAGCGGCCGGCAGCGATGTCATGGGACTTCAAACGACAGCTGTACTAAGTGAAGACGGCAAGGAGTGGATTATCAACGGAACAAAGAAGTGGATTACCAATGGCACGTAAGTGCCGATTTCCGGCTTTTTGGTGCTGCGCAGCTCACGCAAGTCTCCGTTGTCAGGTTCGCTGATTAGTAAGTAAATACGTAGGCTACTTTGAGCGCTACTTGATCTTTTGTTAGCTTCACGGTGGGATGCAGAACCGATGTGCGTGCTATTCGTCCGTTGTACCGCTTCCTTTGACTTGCTTTCTTTAAGGATGGGCTCACCGTCATATTGGTCGAGCGTGGCCCCGGCGTCGAGACGCGCCAAATCAAGACAAGTTATTCTACTGCTGCAGGAACGGCATACATCACCTTTGACAACGTCCGGGTGCCGATTGGTAACACTCTAGGAGAAGTTGGTGGTGGTATCTTCGTTATCCTTAGGTGAAATTGCACCGAAATATCACAAGTAAAGCCCAATTGACGTGACTTCTCGTTTCCAGCAACTTCAACCACGAGCGATGGGTCATGTGCTGCAGCTCAGCAAGAGCTCAGCGCACAATGATTGAAGAATGTCTGAAGTGCGTACATATCAGACTCGGCATACCTAGTACCGTGTTGAACGAGTTGTACAGGTGGGCAACACAACGGAAGGCATTTGGAAAGCCACTCGTCTCACAGCCGGTCATCCGTGCTAAGATCGCAGCGATGATCGAACGGACTGAGAGCGTGCAGAGCTGGCTAGAGAACATCACATATCAGATGACACATATGGTTAGTGCTCGACTCGTCTCTCGCATACCATGATTGACTTGATATTGATCGATGACTGTTCAGACATACAAACAGCAATCTCAGAAGTTGGCTGGGTAGGTCGGATCTCTGATCGCTGGTTCGTAGCGACTGGTGTTGATGTATGAGATAGGCCGATAGCATTTTTGAAGAGCTACAGCACACGGTGCGCACAAGATACCGCTCGGGACGCTGTTCAAGTCTTTGGTGGCCGCGGCATCACCAAGACAGGCATGGGCAAATTTGTCGAGCATGTGGGTGGTCCCTTTCTAAATCCTCTGAACGCAGTGTTGACAAGAGCACAGTACTACCGCACCGTCACGTTTGATTCCCTTCTCGGAGGAGGTAAGTGGTCATTGTGCATCACACTATGATTTACAAACGGTCCTTCGTAGCCGAAGACGTCTTGGCCGATCTTGGTGTGCGACAAGCAATAAGAGCAATGCCAAAGAATGCCAGACTGTAGTCACCACGCACTGACTCCAAACAACCCACTGTAAAGGGAAGACGAGCTGATCATTTACTCGACTACGGGTAATGTTACCCTGTAATAAATTACATTATGGCTCAACTGCCCAATCCCTTCCTGGGAAGTGAAGATCACAGCTAAGTTGTCGTGAGGCAAGGTAATTTGTGCAGTAGCTGTGGCATGCAGCTGGATTTTAAGTTGCATTGATGTCATCTGTTCTCTCAAGCAGTAGTATATGGGGACAAGGTATGCATTGTTGTGGATAGATGTAAATAACAGCAAGTGAAAACAGAGAGAAAAACTAGAGCACAGCATAGTACAGAAGAGGTATGTATAAGGGAATGCAATTGTGCAGGCTACAGTTAAATGGCCACCATTGCAATTGGCTTGTAACATTTATGCCACTGGTGCCCATGAACCATGTGGCTCAAGTCCAGCTCTATGCAACAACCTCTGGGTATGACCACTTTGGTCCTCATGGTGTACAGTGGAGACCTCAATGATACAGGAATCCAAAGTAGTAATTCACCCTTTGGACCTTTGATCCAACCATCATGGTGAAGCTTAACTGGTTCAGTGCATGTAAGCCCATCTCCATGGAGGAGCCCATCAATAAGTTGTTCACTATCACCAAGTGCATGTGAAGGGACAGGTGAAAAGCAAATGTGACATGACTTGATCACTGAAATTGCTTTCAATAAACCAAAATAAATCACAAGTGTGTTATGCTTACCATCTGGTTTGTCAGACAGAACTTGAGGTTCATTGTGCAAATTGGACATGGTAAACATCAACTGCTCATCCAATGGGCCTAAAACAATCCTCCTACCATCAGGAGGGAATGAAACTGAATCAACTGCATCAGTATGCCCCTCAAGATGGCTGTCACCCTCCACACCTCTCTCAGCATCCCAGACCCTCACAGTCTTGTCCTCTGAGCCTGACACAATCCTCTTGCCATCAGGGGAGAATGCAACTGACAAGACTGGATCTGTATGCCCCTCAAGAGGGCTGCCAATCTCCACACCTCTTTCAGCATCCCAGACCCTCACAGTCTTGTCCGCTGAGCCTGACACAATCCTCTTGCCATCAGGGGAGAATGCAACTGACCAGACTGGATCTGTATGCCCATCAAGAGGGCCACCAATCTCCACACCTCTTTCAGCATCCCAGACCCTCACAGTCTTGTCCCCTGAACCTGAGACAATCCAGTTCCCATCAGGGGAGAACACAACTGGCATAACTCCATCTGTATGTCCCTCCAAGCCAAGCAGCTGAGTGGCTGACCAGTGTTCTGGACCTCCTATAACTCCAGGAAGGGAAGAAAAATTTCTTTTGAGTATCATTGACAGTGTTGTCTTCCTAGGAATAAATGCCAGTGCAGAGACATAGATGTGGTGCACTGTGGGAAATTGCACCACCAGAGCTCTGAACAAACCTGATTCCATCTTCTACCAAACCTAAGGTATTCTCAATGTCATGTTGATTCTTCAATGTCATGTCAGACAACATGAGATGCAAATAACTATGACAAACTCACCAAAAGCCATGTTTTGGTAGAGATAAGTGCTGCTGCTACATTTCTAACTCCACTCAGCAGGCTCATTGCTTCTAGCCAAAACAGAACTTTTTCACTTCCCACAAGCCCCTTTATTAACTGTGTAAGGGCCAAGTCAAATCCAGCCTTCTGCAAATGTTGGGACCAAAATTGACAAGAGTAGGATAGATGGGGTGGAATGTTCTTGCTAATTCTCTCTGGTAAATCTGCAAACTCTGCATTGCTCAAGTAAGAACTTTCCAGGCCACAAATGTTGAACCAAAGGTCATCATGGAGGATTCGCAAGGTGGCAACAGCTAGGTTATATGGGCAAGAGGTGTCAATGAAGTAGGCCCCGCTCCGTGAATGATCAGTTAGGAAGTCGTAAAAGGATGCATGGAGGGGTCGGACAGGAGAGGAGGGATCTGTAATGCCCCCGAGCACTGGGGACATGAACTCGAGGATGGCAACATCATAGCGATCCTGTTCATTTGGGAACTGTCTGCGCATGTGATTCAAGGCCCCCATAGGTAGAGGTTCAAGTGTCATTACAACTTGACCCATCACTGAGCGATATCGTTGACGAGCTATAGTAGAATCGAGGATAGCGTTCTTCAGGATTGTCAAGTAAGTGGCGCCCAACAGTGTTCTTCCCTCTCCGGACTCGAGAGTGATCACCTCATCATAGCGTTCCTGCACAGTTGTTCCAGCCCGGTGTGACTTGATGAAATCACAGGCTAGACGAGCCCACTCAAACAGACAGTCCGCCTTCTGAGAAATCTTCCAAACTTCAGTGTCCCTGATGTCTGGAAGGTGTCCAAGTTGCTCGGAAACATATAGACGGATATCGCGTGCTGTCCACCCCGCAAAAACGTCGTCCATGGAGGTCGCCTTCACATGCGGAGCAGCTCTCAACACATCTTTAATGTCGGGCAATGGGCGGGATGTTATGAAGACACGAAAGTTAGGAGGGAGATCATCCGCCCGTGATGCAAGCACAGACAAAATGTGGCTCCGTAAGTGTTCCTCGCCACTCTCGTCTAGCGCATCGATCACCACGACCATGTTTCCAACAATAGTACTTGACGCCTTCGACAACGGCTCCAAAATCAGCTTCTCCCACTGCAACGTGATGTCAGAGGTAGTCTTGAGGGAATGGTCTTCCGCAAGCACGTCAGCCAGAGCTCGCCGGAATGCACGGTCGCGGTCCACCAGATCCCGAGCAATGGTGGTAAATATCTTTTCCTCGCGACGCTCCGCCCGCCTATCACGGGCGAAGCAAAAGCACGACCCGAACCTTCCGGTATCCTTGAGCCACAGGGAAATGGTATGCGTGACGGCAGACTTCCCTCTGCCAGCCTGCCTGTACAGCCAGAAAATACGCGGAGTATCTTCATTGGTGTTGTGGATCCAGCTGAAGATCTCCACGAGGATCTCAGTTCTGGTGCCGTCTAGGCACTTCTTCGTCCTATTGACACCCGCACCTCCTGCATAAGCCATGCCTTCCAATTTTACCTCTCTCAGATCTCCACGTACGAGGTCCAGTTCATCGCGCGTGAAGTTCAGATCTTCAAGTACGTGGTGCACGTTGGTGTGAATATCCCGGATCGCAAGGTCCCGGTACTGTTGCATCAAGTCGTTCAGCAACCTGACGTAACCGTCAGTCGTGGTCTGCATCTCCGACATTATGTTCTTTCCCAGTCTCTTCCCTGAGAAGAATTTGAATCGGACTTGCGATAAAAGTCTGGGAGCTTTTCTGTATGAAATCCAGACTTCATGAAATCCACTTGAGCCTTGGCAAAAATCCCAATGTATGGTTTGGAGACAGATCATGTGTCCATACCAAATCTGTCATCCAAACAGATCAACATGTGTTATGTCTACACCATAGCATCAGGAAAATAACACTTTACTATCTTTGACTTTTTGTGACTAATGTGACTTTTGGGAAGGAATCTACTATCATTACCCATGTCCTGCAGGCATGGCTGCACTTTTCTTGCTGATTTTGGTCTTGTTCAAACCACCTAATTCATAGCTTTCAGTAGATACTACATACATTCAAATTGATGGAGGTTCCAAAGAGATATTGTGATTTTTCTCTCAGACAGTGTGCACCACACCAATGGCTGAATATCTCTGAATTTTCAGACATTTTCTAGTCTTCTTGGCTTAGATATATCATCACTTAGTTGTCTCAATAGATTCTGTTCTCTTTTCATTCTTCAAAATGCTGTATATGGTCAAAAAAAAAGTACAGATAGTAGGTTCCTTCCCAAAAAGTCACAAATAGTCACAATAGTCACAAAAAAGTCAAAAAAAGTCACAAAAAGGTCAAAAATAGTAAAATGTTAATTTCCTGATGCTAAGGACTTCTCATCTACCTGGATGCTGACTGACTTCCAGACAAGGGGATGGCTGGTTTTCTTGATGTCCAGACAATCTTCTGCTTGACTGTCTGTACACCATGACACCTTCTGGACAGGTTGTCAACACTTTGCAAAAATTTCAACCTCAGCACCAGCCCATACCATACCATGACCAACCTCATATCATTCCAGCTCCCTATAACACACCCTGGAACCTATTGTGTCAGTTTCATGCTGCCAACATCTGGTGTTGTGGTATGTGTTGAGAATGCATTCCAGAGTTACAGTAGCCTCTCAGAGTTTTGCCCAGAGGGCTTGGAGTTTCTCCCCAACCCTTGGAATTAAATTCCAATGTCAACATGCTTACTAATTACCATACTATAAATTTTCCACACCATTGTTTTCCACCTCAGTGACTACTTTGTACACTGAGGTGAGTATAGCTAGATTCCCACTCATTTACTTGGTACTGATGTAGTGTAGAAACTCATACCTTCATTAGGTACTAATAAAGTGACTACTTCATACACTGAGAAACTCATACCTTTGTTAGGTTATGAGCCCCACTCTCATGCTCTAATTCCAAAAGAGTTATTACACAGCAAGAATACCCACTATGGCAAAAGACAATCATTCCTTACAAGTCCCAACCCTAAATGCAGATGGAAGCAACTGGCTATATTACAAGGCTCGGGTTGAATGGGCCATCAGTTCAAAAGGGCTGATTGGACACCTGACTGGCTTGGATGCAAAACCAGAGGACCCTTCAGCAGGGAAAGATGCCTCCTGGAAGCCCACAGCCACAGAGCAAAAACTTGTTAATGAATACCCAGAAAAACTCCAGCAATGGGCTAAGGATGATGGATATGTCAAGCAAGTGATTGCTGTGTCACTCCCAGAATCATTTTTCCTTCGAGTTCTGAAGGAAGAGACTGTGAAGAGTGTGTGGGGTGTCCTCACTGACCTTTTCCAAAACCACTCTCACATTGTTGCAATCAATCTTCAGAGAAAACTCCAAGAATCCCACTGTTCAGAAAAAGGTGATGTCCATGCTCATTTTGACAAGATGCACACACTGTGTGAACAACTTGCTATGCTTGGACAGTCAA